ATGTCCAGTTCAAAGAAATTCCCAGGCGTGCCTATGAATAAATATCTTCAAAGTGATAATAAAAATTTTTACAAACTAACAACTATCGAAAGTAATATAAACATAAAACTTAACTTAAAGTACGCCTTCTTAATATTACAAAATATATACAATGACTATACACAATGACTATATACAATTAACAAGGACCGAACATTCCGCCCACCGAAAAAATACAATTTATAATTAAAGGTCCTTATATGATACTAGATTCATGTCTCTATAAATACACACTAATAACTAAACATAAGTTCTATCTTTACACAACACTATTGTTTTTAACACAACACTACACTGTACAGAGGTTCAGAATTGTCTGTGGAAATCAGGTAACACTATCACTACACTATTAGGGTTCACTTACTGGTTAAGTTCATTAGTGGATAGTGCAGTATAATTACGTTTTGCCCTTGTGATCCTAGAATTTTTGACAAATCTAAAGCACCATGCAATGACTCTAAATAACTTATTGGAAGATGAGTATCGCTCGAGAATGTCGAAACTGGAGCTACTGTGAAGTAAATGTGAATGTGTACTTTGTCGTTCTATCAAACGGTGCTGGCCATTCTTCCGAATCCGTTAACAATCATGACGGTCCGTCCCACCATAAATTAGCTTTGCATAATTCTTGGGGGCTAATTCCTCGTGATATTATGTCTGGGGGGTTTTCAATTGATGTCACATGGTTCCAGTTTGTATTCGTTAATTCTTGAATTTCCGAAGTCCGGTTAGCTACAATCGTTTTCCATTTGGTAGGCGAAGCCTTAATCCATGAAAGTGCTACAGAAGAGTCCGACCAAAAGAAAGACTGGTAGTTTTCGAAATTCAAGGACGAAATTGCTTGGCTATATAATCGTGCCAATAATAAAGCCCCACACAATTCCAGTCTTGGAAGTGAAATTACCTTAAGTGGCGCCACTCTTGATTTGGCGCACAATAGCCTCACAGTATGTTCTCCGTGTGCATTTGTTGATCGTATGTATATACAGGCTCCATAAGCCTTTTCGGAGGCGTCACAGAATCCATGCAGTTGAATAATCAGTGGATTTTCGCAAAGTACATGTCTCGGTATAAGAAGTTTGTTCAAGGTGTCTAATTGCTTATAGAAGGAATTCCAGCTATGATGTATTTCTTGCGGAAGTGACTCGTCCCAGTGAAGTTGAAGCTGCCATAATTTCTGTAGGATTAATTTGGCTTGTATCGTTGCTGGACCAACCAGGCCAAGAGGGTCAAATATTTTAGATATTGTGGACAAAATTGTTCTCTTTGTCACCTGAATTGAATTTTCACTGTCAACTGAATATCCTAGTGTGTCCTGATGGGAATTCCATAGGAGTCCTAGAGTATTTGAACTCATGCCTTTTTCAAACTCCTTGTCCTTACATGGGTTGTCCTGAGTAACTATTGTGTTTCGTTTGACGTCCATTTACTTAGCTCCATTCCCGCTGTGCTGAGAATCTCCGTTATTTTCATCTTCAAATCTCGTGCTTCCTTAATTGTGTCTGCACCTGATAATAGGTCATCTACGTAGAAGTCATTGACGATCACTTGACTAATACGAGGATATGATTGCTTGTGCATTTCTCCAAGTTCTCGCAAGACCCTTGTAGCCAGGAACGGTGCCGACGCTGTGCCATATGTTACAGTATTCAGTTCGTATGTTCTGATAGGCTCTGAGTCATTTTCTTGCCATAATATACGCTGAAATTTTCGTTGGGTTTGTGCGACAAGTACCTGTCTGTACATTTTTACAATGTCGGCAGAAATGACGTATTTATGTTGCCGAAATCGCAGGACGATAGAAGAATGATCTTGTTGTATCTTATAGCTAATTTCATGGACATCGTTGAGAGACACTCCAGTTGTCGTCTTCGCTGAACCATCGAAAACGACGCGTAATTTTGTAACATTGCCATTTGTTCCAATTAGCAAGTCGATCGGCCGCGAAGGGGAAAATTCAGGATCAGCTATAGTGATTCCAAGGGGTAATTTGAATTGATCCACACTGAATGCTACGTTCGGAATGTAGCTGGCGATTCGTGGCATTATCAAACAGGTCATTGTCTTTGTAAAACCACTTGTTTTGGAGTGCATCTTTACTTCCGTCTTGTAGTCAATGTTTCGAGTTGCATTTTCAATTCCAGAGACTACAGTTGTCGTTTGTGTGCATGGTAGTTTCAGGCGAGTCCATAAATCCTTCGTGATAAAGGTGGATTGGGATCCAGAGTCAAGCAAAGCCATGCATTGATGTCGTTTTCCTTGCTTGTCCTGGATTAATTAATCGCTGTTGATAAGAGCACATGCGAAGTATTTGAGTGCGTTGATTGAGCTACCATTGTTATCGAGGGTGCTGTAGATGTTGAGGGAGTCACTGGTGTTGGTTTCTTGTTACTGTTGCTTGTTTGAGTTTGATTGCTGTTGTCCTGATGAAGTAGAGTGTGGTGTTTTCGGTGGCATTTTTTACAATGCCCATAGTCACATGATTTATTCCTATGCCCTGGATTTAAATAGTTGAAACATAGTCGCATTTTTTGTACTTCTTCGACTCTTCTTACGGGAGTAGGTTTCTTGAATCCTTCACAGTAGTACAAAGGATGAGATTTTTTACAAAATAAACAGCTGATTGTGTTAGTTACTATATGAGGTGTCACTTGTTCTGTTTTTCTATGATTAAATGGTCTCTTATCATTCCTATAACTACCTTTACCAGAATAAATTGACCTTTCTGTTATAGTCACTTCAAGATATTTGCAATGATTTTCCAGTACGTTAACAAAGTCTCTTAACGTCGGTTTACCAACCAACTTAACCCTTTGCCGTTCCCATTCACGTTTTTTTGAAGCGTCCAACTTGCTTGTAATGATGTAGATGACAAGTGTAGACCAGGAGTCAGTAGGTTCACCTAATGCCTTTAATGTTAACAAATTGTTATTCATATTGTCTAACAATTGTCTGAGAGAAATGTGGGATTCCTTAGTAATCGTCGGCAGTTCAAAAAGTCCCTTGGTGTGATGGTGGATTAACTCTCGTGGATCTTCATATTTATCCTTAAGACATTGCCACGCTAAGGTATAATTTGTTTCGGAAACCCCTAACGACTGAATAACACGTGCAGCATCGCCCTTGAGTGCAGAACTTAAGTAATGGAACCTTTCGATGTTCGATAACGATTTGCAGTTGTGGATGAGCGATTCAAATGCGTCACGAAATTGTAACCACTTATCATATGAGCCGTCGAAAGTTGGTAGCGAAATGGTAGGCAGTTTAATGGGCATTTTTGGCTCTCCAACTGGTGTAGTGGATGAATTAGATGCAATGGTTCTGTGTTCTTCGCGTTCGCGACGTTCCTTCTCCAACGACTTCTTAATTGCTTCACGTGCAGTATCAATCAGCTTGAAGACAAGGTTAAATGTCAAATTCAGAAAGAAAGTGTGATAAAAATACCAAAGGAATCAGACACAACGAGAATTAGTGAGAAAAATTCTACAACAACTGCCTTAAATATAGGATCATTCGTGGTTCTTAAATATGATAATGAATTGTATCCTGCTAAAATTGTTCAAACTGACAACAATGAATATTACTGCTGCGCAATGCAAAAGAGCTTAGGACATTGGAGATGGCCGGAAAAAAATGACTTGCTGTGAGAGAAATAGAAAATCCCAAGCAACTTAATTCTACAGGAGTGTACTCTGTACCAGAAATAACATATTTAAGTTTGAACAGCTCATTATACCATTAATAAATATTNCAGTAAGATCGTTAGGATCGGAAGTAAGTGGAGTTAAAGGGAGTGATTTAGAACTACTTCTACCTCCCTGCAGGCAAATTTCGATATTTGTGTACAGTAGCTGTAAAAGCTACAAAAACAGTTAATGGTGGCTTCTCGATTTCCGTTTTTGAGAAAAATTTATTGGTGTTTCCGAAAACTTGCTACCGCCTTTTCTCTTGAAGTTATAAACAAATTTCGAGTTTTGACTACATGTCCGTACCTGGTTGTTGACAAAATTAGAAAAAACAATTTTACATTTTTCGGGTACATAAAATACAGTGGTCAGCAGTCAATCATCTTCCTTTGAGTTATAATATATAAACTTGTATTTTTTAAATAGGAATAATAGTTGACTATGATTATTTTCGTAACAGTTCTTTTAATTATTCTTTAATTTTAAATGCGTACCCATCGAGTGGGAGTGGCGCAGTATGTATGTATATTTGAAAAGACGATAAAATTAAAAATTTTAATTTACTAAAACTAAAGCATAACCAATTTAATAAAATACAAATTTATGTGACAACTCGAAAGGGGATGATTTGTTTTTAATTTTTTTGACATCACTATATTCTATGTAAATAAGTATTTGAAAAACGTAAAAGTTATTACATTCTAATGTTACAAACAACCAAGATATGGACATGTAGTCAATACTCCAAATTTTTAACTTTTTTATTATATAAAATATACAAGACAACACTCACTTAGTGACTAACATCGAAGAAAACTATCTAAATAGTCACGGTTTATGGCATTGCAGAGAGAATTTAAATTGTCACTATGTTAAGAACAGTAGAATGTCCCAGGAAATTGCAAGAGTTTTTAATCGAAAATATCCCGATAAGAACTTTAGCCAACAAGTCTACGTAAGAAATTTGTCACGTCATTGTCACGAATTCTAAGCTACATCTCATTTTGCACCGGGCATTGTAGAAGAAAAGAATGATAAATGTTTGAAAATTTAGAAGTAAGCTTCGACTGAGATATTTTATAAGAATGTTTGTAAGCTTTTTAATATATTCAAGTCAATTAATCTTTACCAATATATTGGGTTGTTCGGAAAGTCATTTCGTTTTTTCCCGACAGAGGATTTAATTGTATTCTTTTGCACCTAACTTCACATTTAAGCCATATAATTTTTATATGCTTTGAGAGTATAATAAGCGTGGTTGTTTTTTCTTCCGTATCTCACGTTCTGCCCAATTCGGCTGCGCGTTTCTGAAACCACAGCACCACTGAGAATTGAACCATTGCATTGCCGCAGTCGCTAGCTAACTGTGGTTGTCTATTTTTCTTCCCTCTTCCATCCCTTTCCCGTTTGTTACGTCTCATATTGTTTAAATTAAAAAACTTCTCTCTTTAAATAAACTTTTTTTCACAACTTTTTTTTGTTTGTTTCCTTAAAAACTGTTTGTTTTATTCCTTACTTTTTTAAGATAATGTGAATTAAACCAACAAAAGTGTTTTTTTTTGTGTGTGATATAATATAAATGGCAAAATGTGGTTTGATGATACTGAAATCTACTCGATCGGCATGACTGTAACGCCTTCTTCAAGTGCCTCCTCAGGTAAAATATTAGAAAATTCGCAATTAATCTTATTCATTCTCATGAACATTACTGAAAAGCAATAAAAAAAAAACAAATTTTATTTTATCTGCCACGAAATTACTTTTCTGCTTCTGTTTTGCGGTTTTAGGTATGACGCTCTATATTTTTCTTGTTATTAACGCAAGTTACTATAGCAACTCTTTAGGTAATTATTTTCACTAATTTTTATGAACTGTATATTAACAGTGAATTTGAATTTTTAGGTGTCTCCATTTCCATAATAGGTGAGGATAGCTTGTTGAAATTTTATCAAAAACACAACTTACTAGTTTCAGCCATGAAAGTCATCTTAACAAGCGATCCTTGCCGATCTTTAAATTATGCAATAAATAAATCTGAAGAGAATTATAGTAACATACATTTAAACTCGTATCAAAGTCTGACTTAGAATTGGGATTAATTCATCTACAGTAGTATTATTTTGTATATATTTTTTATTGTGTCGTATAGTTAAATATATATTACACAATATAAAAATACCTACAGTTTGCAGAACACAATTTGTTATTAATATGAAAAAGAGATAATTGTAACTACAATAATTTGCACAAACGTTGTAGGTTATACGTCAAATTAATTTCGTGTTACTATTTTGGACCGCGATTAATGTTAGGAAATAAACTTAAGTTACCGTGCAAAAGGCAGAAATACTGGTAAATGTAATTTATCGAAAGTAAATAACTGGAAATATCATCAATTTCAATACAACAAAAATAAGACAGGAAAATAGGTACTGCAAATAGATGCCAGTACAATACTTTCTAAGTATAAGTCTGTATTTTAAAAAAGAAACAATATTGAATGTAAAAAACAATAACAGGACTCACGATGCTGCCCACCTTGAACGACAACGTTCAACAAAACGTTGGTATTCAAATTTGACGTTACTTCCACACACACGCGACTAGCACGCACTTCATGAAACTGTGGTTTAATCGGTTGGTAGTAAACATACTTTTTTTATTAGTTTTAGTATATGATCTCTTTGTCGTTTTCACTGACAGTACACAAACGGTATTGTAATTCGTCCTAACTTCAATTGCATGGGAGTATGTGGGATAAGTTGTCTTCCTTCAGGGTAAAGACAGTCCTTCCTTGATCGATGCATGTGGAACTTCCATTTGTTACGAATATGCAATTCGTTCAGGTACTGCTTGTACCATTTTGCCCAAAAATGTTTCATTTTCTGAATATGTTGCCATGCTGATAAGCGGTTGTTGGGAATATCTACAAGATTTGTCTCGAGTATGATATTGTTTGATTCGCCAATAATAAGGAAAAGCTTAGAACAAAATGCAGTAAGATCGTTAGGATCGGAAGTAAGTGGAGTTAAAGGGAGTGATTTAGAACTACTTCTACCTCCCTGCAGGCAAATTTCGATATTTGTGTACAGTAGCTGTAAAAGCTACAAAAACAGTTAATGGTGGCTTCTCGATTTCCGTTTTTGAGAAAAATTTATTGGTGTTTCCGAAAACTTGCTACCGCCTTTTCTCTTGAAGTTATAAACAAATTTCGAGTTTTGACTACATGTCCGTACCTGGTTGTTGACAAAATTAGAAAAAACAATTTTACATTTTTCGGGTACATAAAATACAGTGGTCAGCAGTCAATCATCTTCCTTTGAGTTATAATATATAAACTTGTATTTTTTAAATAGGAATAATAGTTGACTATGATTATTTTCGTAACAGTTCTTTTAATTATTCTTTAATTTTAAATGCGTACCCATCGAGTGGGAGTGGCGCAGTATGTATGTATATTTGAAAAGACGATAAAATTAAAAATTTTAATTTACTAAAACTAAAGCATAACCAATTTAATAAAATACAAATTTATGTGACAACTCGAAAGGGGATGATTTGTTTTTAATTTTTTTGACATCACTATATTCTATGTAAATAAGTATTTGAAAAACGTAAAAGTTATTACATTCTAATGTTACAAACAACCAAGATATGGACATGTAGTCAATACTCCAAATTTTTAACTTTTTTATTATATAAAATATACAAGACAACACTCACTTAGTGACTAACATCGAAGAAAACTATCTAAATAGTCACGGTTTATGGCATTGCAGAGAGAATTTAAATTGTCACTATGTTAAGAACAGTAGAATGTCCCAGGAAATTGCAAGAGTTTTTAATCGAAAATATCCCGATAAGAACTTTAGCCAACAAGTCTACGTAAGAAATTTGTCACGTCATTGTCACGAATTCTAAGCTACATCTCATTTTGCACCGGGCATTGTAGAAGAAAAGAATGATAAATGTTTGAAAATTTAGAAGTAAGCTTCGACTGAGATATTTTATAAGAATGTTTGTAAGCTTTTTAATATATTCAAGTCAATTAATCTTTACCAATATATTGGGTTGTTCGGAAAGTCATTTCGTTTTTTCCCGACAGAGGATTTAATTGTATTCTTTTGCACCCAACTTCACATTTAAGCCGTATAATTTTTATATGCTTTGAGAGCTCATATAGCAAGGCTTGTGTGTGAAAAATTCCAATTAATTCTACGCAGTAGTTTTTGGTTGGTGCCCTTTTAAATATGGAGAGCGATAAGCAGCATTTTCGACATATCTTACTGTTTTACTACAGAAAGGGTAAAAATGCTGTTCAAGCCAGAAAGAAATTGACTGATGTGTATGGAGAAGGTGTGTTGACAGTACGCCAGTGCCAGAACTGGTTCGCTAAATTTCGATCCGGCAATTTTGATGTCGAAGATGCACCACGTTCGGGAAGGCCGGTTGAAGCTGATAAAGACGCGATAAAGGCATTAGTTGATGTGAACCGGCGAATAACAACACGTGAGATCGGATTGAGGTTAAATTTATCAAATTCAACAGTTTATGACCACTTGAAAGGCCTGGGATTATCCTCGAAGCTCGATGTATGGGTTCCCCATGTTCTCACAGAGAGAAATCTGTGTCGCCGCATTGACGTCTGCGATTCGCTTCTCAAACGTCACGAAAATGATCCGTTTTTGAAGCGCATCATCACTGGGGACGAAAAATGGGTTGTATACAACAACGTCAAACGCAAGAGGTCATGGAGCAAAAAAGATGAACCGGCTCAAACCATTTCCAAAGCCGATATTCACCAAAAAAAGGTGATGCTGTCTGTTTGGTGGGATTTTAAAGGAATCGTTTTTTTTGAGCTTTTACCGGATAACACAACGATTAATTCGGAAGTCTACTGTCATCAGCTGGACAAACTGAATGATGCACTTCAACAGAAAAGGTCAGAACTAATCAACAGGAAAGGTGTAGTGTTTCACCAAGACAACGCGAGACCTCACACAAGTTTGGTCACTCGCCAAAAGCTTTTACAGCTTGAATGGGATACAATGCTACACCCACCATATTCTCCAGACCTGGCACCATCGGATTATTATTTGTTCCGGTCACTCCAAAATTTTTTAGACGGTAAAACCTTCACCTCAAATGAGGAGGTCAAAAACCTCCTCGATCAGTTTTTTGCCAGCAAAGACCAAAAATTTTATGAGCGTGGAATTATGCTACTACCAGAAAGATGGCAAAAGGTGTTGGACCAGAACGGTCAATATATAATTTAATAAAGTATTTGTTTATTATACGAAATTTTCTTTCATTTCCACAAAGAAAAACGGAATGACTTTCCGAACAACCCTATAAATAACCTCAAAATAATTAGGAAAAATTGTTGCTGCTGTTACGCTGGAAATATATCTACAACAAAATACGCAACACTACGACAAGTAACAATTTCTTACAATTTTTCCTATAGTTATAGAAAATTAGAAAGAATTGTAACTCGTCATCACAAAATTCTACAACATTTAAGGTAATACAAAATCTCACTGTTTAATTTCACGTTATAAATTGTAGAAGGTTGTCGAAGACAGAAATTTCTGACAACAAATAACAACTTACAGCCCATTTCAATTTGTTTGAATTGTGACCTTGAAGAAATCTGCTCAAAGAGAAAGAATACACACTAGGCGTGAGCAAGACAGAAATAGTTGGAGCAAGCTTGAACGAGCAGAGCTCTCGATTTGCGGTCTTAGGAGATCGACTAGAACTGAACAGTACTAGACGAAAATGTTTAGCAATTTCTTAAAACAAAAATGTGTATAAATTAACAATAGAAAACAAAGCAAAAGTTTTATAGGTGTATGGAACGTTATGTTAATTCACTTGTTATTATTTTTGGCTAAATATGCTTTTAAATAAAGTATATTTTGAAATTTTAACGAGGCAGTTTAAATAATTTTGCAAATGGTACTGTACACTTTTGTCTAGCTCTCGCTCGATGATCGGTGAAGAAACGCAGACAAATATGAATGAATTTGGAATTATGCTACGTCGCATCTTAATAAAGAGAAGAGGCATATCTCCAACTTCTTGAAACGAACAGTACTACGCATAGGTTATTGTGTTAAATTGAAAAAAGTTATTTGTTGTGGTTCCTAATAGAATACTACAACATTTAATGGGAATTAGCAATTCGTAATGTCTCATAAAAATCGAAAAAAAATATATACTCCGACAGACAACCACGAAGTTTGTTGTAGTCCTACGTAAAATACTATAATTTTTAATGATATTTAACAATATATAACGTTATTAGTTGAAACCAATTACAAATAAGTTTATCTAGGAGAATAATAAGACGCCTAGCGAAATAGCCCGTAACTACATACGAAAAATTGCTTTTCAACCCTTACACTTAACTAGTGTAATAAAATAAATAATTTTGAATTGGACGAGCAACAATTTCTACGAATTTAGAAGAAATCCCTTGTAGGAAATTATATTAACTAGGCGGAGAATAGGTTGAGCTTGGTTGTAGAACATTGTAGAAAATTGTAGGCGTTTGATGCATAAATATTTGTAGTTTATCATAATATTGCGTAATTTAAAGATTTATAGTCAAGTACAGCTTGGAACAGTTATCAAGGATATTCTACAATACTG